CTTATTTCTGTCTTTTTTTCTAAATGAATGCTAAAAAATAATTCTACGTTGCCTCTACAGATGAATTTTTTCTAACTAACACTGCCTGGGAAGTAGAGGAGCCCGGCAAGAAGCATTTCAGTGCCCATCAAGCTGGTCTGCCCATGCTGAAATGTGAAGGTTACAGACAGAGCAGAGAGTTGGATTGGGACTGGATGCCTATAGTCCCAGCATTCTAAGAAGCTAAGGAAGGAAGATCACAAGTTCAAACTCAGCCTGGCCAATTTATCAAGACTTCATTTCAATCAATCAAACAAACAAATAAACAAAACAAAACAAAAGCTGGGGATGTAGCCCAATGTGAAGCCCTTGGGTTCAAACCCTAGTAGCCATCCCCTAAAAAGAGCAAGCAGGAACTTATGCTTAGCATAAGCAAGGACTAGATTTAGTCCTGGGCAACAACAACAACAACAAAAAAAAATGAATAAAATAAAGTAATACAATATTCTGGAATAAGCATTTATATTGATTCTACACTGTCTTCTACCATTTAAGATTTTCATAATTATCACAAAGAGAAATCACTGTAGATTAGTACTTAACAGCACAAAAAAAGGAGAGGAAAAGTAACAAAGACAATAATAGTTGATTTTTTTTCTAAAAGAGATGTATTGCAAATAAAGTCTGATTCTTGAACAAACCTGTTTCATACAAAAACTGCACGCAAAAAACTAAATGTACTACAGTTCTAGTATATAAGTCAAAGGAACAGAACTGAGATTCTAGGCATTAGCTGTTATCTTTATGACCAAGTGATGCTCTACAAAGGTAGAACAAAAATCAGTGGATAAAGGATAGTTTTTTTTTTTTTTTCAACAATAGTGCTAGCATGGAATATGAAAAACAAATTAAAGTAAAATGAACTTTGTGAGCTTTCATTGGGCAAAGAGCTTTTAGAAACATCAAAATTATGTTTTAAAAGAAAAAAATTGATCAACTGAGTTTTATTATAATTTAAAACTTTTACACTTCGAAGGACACCATTATGAAAAGTTTAGCCCTCCCCATGCACACAACTTCCTATACCAACGAAGTTTAATATTAATTTAAATTTACATTATTTCATTATGAAGAAGAAAAACAGCAGCACAAAAAATGAAAAGATAAGGCCAGAGATTGGAGAAAAGTAGGCACGAATGAAGTATCTCATAAAGGACTTATATCAGGAGTAAAGACACAGAGGGAAATGACGCTATACAACAATTGGCAAAAAATTTGTATTATTTTCCCAAAGAAAATATAGGAATGGCTAAAAAGTACTTAATTGAGCAGGGTGATGGTACATGCCTGTAACATGCCTGTAATTCTAGCATTCTCAAAGCTGATGCAGGAAGATAGCAAATTCAAGTCCAGCCTGGACAATGTGGCAACTCAGTAACTTATGATAAGACTCTGTCTCAAAAATTGAAAAAAGGTCTGGACATGTACATCAAAGCAATCTCCACTACCAAAACAGAACAAAAGCACTAAGTAAACAGGTCAACTATGAGGAAGTGAATTTCATATCATTTTTTGCCTTTATCAAAAATCTACACAATGAAATGATTTCACAAGAAACTCCAAAGTGTACAATTTTGTACACTTCTCATACAACAGTCAAGTTTTCAAATTACTGAAGAAAAACGACAGTAACATCCAGATTGGGCAAGAAATGAAACTATTTCTATTTGTACAAGATACAACCTGTTATAAAGAAAATACTAAGGAAGTCACATATACATTAAAAAATTATCAGTACTTGCATGAATAACAACACAGTTGCAGGAAACAAGTTCATTATACAAAGTCAATTGTAGGGGCCAGAGATCCAGCTCAGTGGCACAATGCCTGCCTGGCAAGCATGAGGTCTTGAGTTCAATTCCCCGTATTCCTTCCAAAAAAATTGTATTTCTATGCCTTAGCAAAGAATAACCAAAAAATGAAATTAAGAAAACAATTGTTTGTAGACGCATAAAAAGACAAAAAAAAAAAGCTAGATCAACATTCAAAATAAAATGAACATAATCCACCATATAAGAAACTAAAGAAAAATATGAACATAGCAATACTTGCAAAAAAAAATGTGGGAAAAATCCAATTTGTTCTCATGAAAACTAGGATTAAAGGGAACTTCCTCAACTTGATAAAGAATATCTTTACAGCTAACATCACGCTTAATGATAAAAAAAACCCAAATGAACCTAAAACATCCATACAAAATGTTTATAGCAGCTTTATTTATAATTATCAGAACTTGGAGGCAAACAAGATGTTCTTCAGTACAGGAATGAACAAGCAAGCCGTGGAACAATCATACAATGAAGTGTTATCAACTACTGCAAAAAAATGAGTCACCAAGCCATGAAAAGACAGAGAAGCCTTAAATAAACTTTGCTAAGTGAAAAAAAAAAATCTGAAAAAACTAAGTAGAGTATATGATTTCAATTATATGACATTCTCAGGAGTAAAACTATAGAGATGGTAAAATAATCAGGGATTGATGGGAAGGTAAGAAAGAATGACTAGATGTGACACTGAGACTTTCAGGACAGTGTAACTATTCTGTATGACATTACTTTGTGATATATTTGTAGGACATATATTTATATTATAGAGATATACAGTTGTGTATCTTACAAAAATATGCATTACTATTGAAAATATTTTTCAACACACATAGAACACATACACAAAGAGTGAACCTAATGTAAATTATGAACTTCAGTTAATATATCAAACTGGCTCAATTATAACAAATGTGTCACATTAATGCAAGATATTAAAAACAGAAGCAACACAACAGGAGTCATATGGAAACTCTTACACATTCTGCCCCATGTTTCCATAATCTACACTCTCTAAAACAATTCTGAAAGTTAAAATTAAGCAAATTATGTTAATTATAAAAAATTAAATAAAGATAATAAAGTGTAACAGTCACAGAAGCACATAAAGCTTCGATATTCCCGACACAGCGGGAATTTGCTCTGAACATAAATTCAGCTCTGAGGTTTTGATGAAAACAATCGCTGTTATCCTCTGGTGTTAAAGTAAACTCTGGACAGCTTTCTGATAACCTCTAATTTGTCTGCTCCTGAAACAATTGTATTTACAGTAAATAACAAGATTCTACTACTGGTAAAGCTCTGAAATTATCTTCCTTATCTGCAATTTGCTTTAAGTATAGGCTTTGGAAAGTTTTCCTTTACACTCAAAAAGCAAGTAACTGAATTAAATGGATCTCTAAAAATGCTTCTGAAGCCTAAGTCCCATTTCTCCTTTGTTAAAAGTGCTTTCTGCTATTTCCTCCACCACCCAGAAGAATGCAATTTCACCTCTGCTCCCACAGATCTCCGCTCTACCTGTGGTTACACACTTTCATGCTACATGGCCGAGATGTACTAGGCCATCTCTTATAACATGACAAAGACAAGAACTAAGCCATAGTCATTTGTGCACTGTTTCCATACCTATCAGGTACTGCAGCATCAAGAAGTATGGAATGTAAGTGACACAGTTACCTAACTAAGCTGCCAGGAAAGCGAAATGGGAGATGCTGCTTTATGCTAAATTGGGGGCTAAATCTGTGTGATATATATATATGAGTACACAAATGAACAGGGGTATATGTATCTACGTTTGCATATATACGTGCATCTGTGTGCATCTGAACATTTGCATGAATGTGCTTATAAGTATCTATGTGTGTATGTATTTGTGTTTATGTGTGTGGGAGTCCCTCTGTTCTCAACTTCGTTTCTCCATCTCCCTGCTCTGATTTCTGTGTTGACTAAATTCTCAGCAAGTGTTTCCCTCTGGCTGGCAAACTAGCTCAATGGCAATCCCACATGCAAACACATAAAAATTGCCACTAGCAGTCCAGATTAACAAACTTGCAAAAAGGAAAACAAACTCTCTTTTCAATGGTTTTCAAAAGAGTACTTCCCCAAAGTGAAGTACTGCGGGGGTCCCCCTACTAAATGACCACTGTGATCATCACTAGTCAGGCAGGCTATGTCACATGCTCAGGACTGAGCCAGTGGAGTCACCACCTCTAGTTACACAGACTGACAATGAGGCAACAGTGACTGCCCAGGGAAAATGTGGGTGACTTATTAAAAGAATGGAGAAAGAGATGCTGGCGGCCAAGGTCAACAGACACTCACCACTTCATTGGCTTTCAAAGCCTGCTGGCTCACCCCTCCCTACTAAGTACTTGTTAACTGCTCTTTATGAATCAGGCCGAGTTACTCACTGAACAGCTAAAAGCAATTATCTACAATACCCATCTCTGTATAATATACTTTCTCAAAATGAGTTACTTTCTACCTTAATGCCATCTATGGGGTTACTGATGTTGTTTCATTTTCCTGGTTCACAGTGAGGCTATTTTGCATTTATTTAAATGCTTATTATATTCAGGGCCTTTCTCTTCCCTTGTGCTATAAGAGTATCTTAATGCCAAATGCACACACTGCAGAAAAAGAAAGTGTCAGTAGCTTTTGTTTGGGGGGAAAGAAAGACTTACAATCTTGCCAAGCAAACAAACACGCACAGCCACAGAAATGACCCAACCTTCTGAGTGTGAAACCATAAATGAGCCCAAGTCTGAAAGTCCCAGCACAGCCCCAGGAGGGCAGGCACGGCTTTCTCTCCAAATAAAGCCAAGATCACAAGGCTGTTACAGATGACCTCGGGTTATGGCTTTTTGCAATCTGTGCAGAAGATTGTTCTTCTCAGAGAGAGGAGACAATGAAAGCCAGGATGGGACAAGAGAAGAGAGAAAGAGAAGGAAAGGAAGACAACACATCCTACAAAGAAGAAAGCTGTGAGGATACATCCCTGACAGGATGCTAGGAATCTCCCAAACAACTGAGGATGATTAGTTGGAGCAATCTCAAAAACACTGATGGAAGAAACAAAACAACTTTTCCCAATCTGACCCAATGAACTTCTGCCAGTGTTTCTTATGTTTAACCTACCTGATTCTGCTGAAGGTGTCGTCCGTCTCAGTGTTTCACAGGAGCTTTCTTTTATGGATTTTCCATCCAGCAAATGTTTCTGTTCCGTGGCTGGGCAGATCCGACCACAGCATGCTTGGCTAGAGTCTGCAGCTCACCCAGGGCAGCTCCAACCTGGAGGGCAAAGGCCAGAAGCCATTATAAGGACTCACATTCACAAGCTATTTCTCTCTCTCAAGGGCACATAGTTGGCAGGATAACATCAAGCACCTTCCAAATGTTTAAAATCATTGATGGACAGAGAAAACAGCTTCTAAGGTACCCTAAAGACAAGTCAGGGCTATTCCGAGAGGAGGGCTGAAGTATTTAATCATTACTGAAAAGGTATGGCCACCCGACTTTGTTCTGTTTGTGGAAAATTTAAAAGCCAGATGTTTTAATTAACCACGGAAAACACAAGCTGCAACTAAAATTTCATGAACACAGTGATCTGCTCCATGGAAAACCACAGGAATGTTCTGGCAGGGCTCGGTCTGAATTCTTAGGACACAGAGGCCTGGAGTCATTCCCCTTAGAAACTCAAACAGAAAATTAACTTGCTCAATATGGCTAAAAGTAAAATGAAACCCAGATTTAATCTCAATCAAACATGAAAACATTTAAGACTTCAAAGGACACCACCAAAAGACCCAGGAGTACGGGCCATGGAAATACTCTAATGCAGTTCAGGATTTAGAACTACATTCACAATGCAGGGCAAAATGTCCTAACAGAACATTTTACAGGCTACCCCATGCAAAGGGGAAATTAACCTTCCATTTCCTCATAGAGCAAATTATAAGTAAAAACAATATTCAACATATTCAAGTAAATCAACAATATTCAAGTAAATCATAAATATTACCAAAAGAATAATCTATCTAGGCAAAAGGAATCCTTTAACCACCTCGCTTCCAAACACGTGTCCTGGCCACACTAGTTACCAGGCTTCAGCCTGCTGACTCAGGGCCTCCAGAAAAATGGCATTAAAACAACTTCTGCTCATTTGTTTCTGCTAGCAATACTGACACAGAAAAACTCAAATGAGGGAAGCTTATGAAAAGAATTAGCGAACAATCAGAGCAAATAGGTAAGTCTTGATCTGTTAAATATAGTAATAGTTACAACAATATCTATAGAGGCTAAACATTGAAAGCCTGTTCAAAAGGGAACAAGAAATGTTATTTTCAGATACTGGTCTACAATTCTATTTCTGTAAATCAAAACAGTTCTCTTCACAAGTGTGCCAAGCATAATATTACATTAATTTCTACCTTCAGCCCCCAAAAATCACCACAAAAAGAATCCAGCAAGAAAAAGACATCAATATGTACACTATGAATCCAGTAAGACACCAAAGTGTGAATAATAGCATTTTTGGAAGCTATTTAAATCCTCTTTTTGGTAGTTTCCAAGTTTTGTATAGGTTTTATATATATATATATATATATATATATATATATATATATATCATACAATTAGAATTTTTAAGTTAGGATTTTTTTAAAGAGTATAAGAAATGGGACATCTATGTTATATTATTATTCTTATCCCAAATTGCCTCGTATCTGAACAACAGAGCTACAAAATTAAGAAGTGTTCACTCTACTGAACTCAATATAGGTTGAGCATCCTTAATCCAAAAATCTAAAATCCAAAGCAATCCAAAATATAAAGCTTTTTGAATGCAAGCATGACACAATTAAGTAGAAAATCCAAATTATGAAACACTGTACAAACTACGAAATTTTCTGAAACACTATATAAAATTATCCTCAAGGCCTCATCCATCATCATAAAACATCGATGAATTCTGTGTTCAGATTTCAGTCTCATCCCCCAAGTAGCTCACTATGTATATGCAAACATTCCAAAGTTCAAAAAAACCTGCAATCCGAAACATTTCTGGTCTTAAGCATTTCAGTTAAGAGATATTCAACTTGTAATTCTTAATTTACAAAATTCAATCCCAAGTATCCAGTAATGTGCTCAAGGCTGAAAAACAGCAGTTCCCTAGAAATGCAAACATTTTTCTTTTCTAGTCTGAAAACTGGCCACAGACAGAACATCGCATCCAGACTTCTTGATCACTGACTATGCAACATACCTGTCAATTAAGAGAGTATCTCTTGGGATTACTGAATAGTTTCACAGGTACAGGGCCCTTAGCAATCTCTGCCACACTCCACTTCTGATGCTGTTAGCATCCTAAGAAATACAAAGCAAAACTGTGGAACTGAATGCTGAAGGTCTTGACAGTCTTTTATCCCAAGAAGCCTAGGCCCAGGGAGTTAAACTGCTTTTCCCTTAGCCACAGTCAGAAAGCAGGAATGTGATTCAGGATTACCTGCTTCTGCTTCAACCAAACGCTCTTTTCACAACTACAGTGTCTCAGCATGCACCCTTAGATCACAACATATACTATATTAAATTCATATCTGCTAAACCAGAAGAATGTGTTCCACTAGAAGTAAATGCATGCAGAAAAAAAAGTGAAGACTCAACCCCAGGGTATTAACGACAACAGCAACAATGCAGCTCTGCCCAGAATGTGTCCAAGAGAAGAAACAATGGTTGCACTGTCTGTCAGTGGCAGGTGTCCTCAGCAGAAACCGACTATCACACAGTGAAAGTCCTGGCCCTCTTGATAACAACACAATCCCCCTACATAACGTGGGACAAAAAACTATGCCTGTGCCAAGTCACCTGCAAAGGCCTGAAAGATACATGTTCATCATGTTTAGAAATAAGCCCTATATGGCATCGAGACCTGGCTGCTCACTTCAGAAATGATCCAAGTCTTAAGGGTTTTAAAATCAACAAGTCACTAAGAATGAAAACAAAATAAAAAAATAAGATGTGAATATTCCACATCTTATGTTTCATACAACCTTAGAGAACAAGCAGGCTTTTTCTCTTTAATTATTTCTTTGAAATACTGCTCACCTCCACTTCTTTGTGTCTACCTAGAATGTCCACGCCACACCAATCAGAAACCTCAAATTCTCACAAAATGCGATCCACCTAAAAAGCAAGAGACCAAAGAGGACAGATGGCAATGACAAACTTAGAAAGCCTTCCTGAAAGGCCTTTATTGAGCTCACTTCTCTTCACCCTTTCCCTACTGAGCAGCAGGACAACAAAGGAATGAACTGTGAAGCTGCTAATAATAAAATTTTAAAAAGCCACATCAGAGATGATGTGAGCCAGCTTTGAAAGAGCCCAAGCAAACACAATAGCTTTGTCCTGCCACAAGTCAGAAGGCCAGCATTAAGTGAAAAAGAAAATGCTTTCTTTCCACCCAAAACCGTTCCCAAAATCCCCACTCTGGATCCTAGAGGGAACACAGTCAGCAGCTATTTATTCCCTTCTGTCCCTCAATTCTAACCCTGAAGGTTAATCTACAAAGTGGTAAAAAGGAATTAGATTCTTGCTGATACTTCACGATAAAGTCAGAGTTTCATGGGGAGTATTATTCAGATAACTCTTTAAAGGCATTTTTAAAATAATGACAATAAGCTTAAATTTAGCAGTCTGACACAATGAACTCTGACTTATCAGCCACAAGCTAGACAGATCCTGCTGAAGTCACCAAATTATCTTACTTAACAGAAGGCTAAATAGAAATGAGAATTCAGAGAGATTCATAGATTTTAAAATCTTTCATTGCTTCAAATCTTGGCAGGAGTCATTCAGCCTTTGGTTCCAGTGAACGGCTCTGGCAAAATGTGCACCCCGATACTGCCACCATTCAGGTACCTTAAGTGTTTGCTTGAGCACTGTCTTTTTTTTTTTTTTTCTACTAGTCAAACGGCATAAGGAAGGCTTCTATTTCTTGAGTTTCATTCTGGAAGTATCAGCTGAACAATTCAATGCTTCTGAAACTTCTGTCTCAAAATGAGCTGACAAATAAGGCAAGAGATAGTATTTTGGAACGTATTCTTTTCATAGTTGTGAAATTTTGATTTTAAAACTTAGATTCTTAACATTAACAAATAAACTCCTCAAAACATGTGGGAGACAAGAGAGTACAAAGTGTTTAAAAGAACGAAGGCTAATTTAAAAATAACAAATTGTCCCCAAAAGAGTGTATCATACGTTTCCATCTCAGGTAAGAGAAAAAGACCTAGTATTGTGAATACCCAACCTGACACCCAAGAAAGTTTGGGGTTGATGATAAGACATGACAATTTGGAAATGCTTCCCACAGTGCTTTTCCCAGCATGCACTCAAATAAAAGTGTGAACAGGGAGAGTAAGGAAATTATTGTTCACTAACTTTCAAAGGCCGCTGTGAACAAGAGAGGAAGAAATCAACAGATTCAGAGGTTGCAGCGCCAGCTCTGCTCCTTGTAACCCACAGCTTTCTGACTGTGAACCTGAGCTCTCTTTAATCTTTGTTTTGTCACTGGTCAAACTGAGAAGACACCATCAGCCACCCTCATGGAGTTGTCCATTGCTGAAACCAATCAGGAAAGCATGATAGACTATAAAGCATTACCTAGTCATCCAACAAACACTAAGCAACTACATGCTGCCAGAAATGGGACTGTGGCTACAAACATGAGGACAGGAAGCTCACCTCTCCCAGGGCAAGGGATCTCCATTAACAGATACTGAGATCTGGGAGGAGGCAGCAGGGGTGATGGGGATAAGCAGGCAGCATCTAATCAGCCTAGCCAACAAAGGCATCACCTCTACATCAAGTCTGTAACAAAGTTTATCAGTGAAAAGTGATAGATGTGGTTGTTAGTCTTGGTTGTTTTGCTGTTAGCTCATTCTTTACAATGTTTGTATTGACCAATCACTAGGGTTTGGGACTAAACAAGTTCCATCTAATGTAGTTGATATTCCAGTCGTTTTTCATCCACGTGAAATATGGATGCTAAATACACAAAGTACACATGCTAAGTACACAAAAGCAGCTTCTATCGCAATGTAGTAGTTTTCACAACCAAAGTCTTCACACACAAATGTAAAAAACAACATTCTAACTGACCTAAAAGCAATAAACATTTTATTGCTTATTTTAATCTCCAGTCCACATTTTACAATACACCAAATAATTGCCACCATACGGAAGGTCCTTTTAGATTGGAGGGATTAGAGTCTATGTGTTTCTTGGCATGGAGTAGA